GGTAGAAACAGGAGAGCATTAAAATGCAGCACTTTGAACTATAGGTCTTCTGACAGGTTACAAGGAGTGGGAATGAAGCAAAAACGAAAGGGATGTAACCAGGGACTGTGAAACTGCCTATTCAATCTCCTACTAATAAAAGGCCATGGGTAGGCTTAGGAGACGCATGGCACTGGGTGTGATGGGAGCAGAAGCAGGAACAGTTAATAGATCAGATGTCCGTTCATACAGCGATTATTAGGAATCCAGTCCACAACTGGGATGCCCCAATATTACTGCAATACCAGTAAAGGATGCAAACTTGAGCTTTATATAAAGTTTTAAATGATCAGCAGAGACCACAACAGGGGAAAGAGAAACCTAGCAAAGAAATGATAAAGCTGCCCCCTCCCTTAACCCCTTCTCAGCCTCTGTGTGGGCAAGGAGGAAAAAACCTTCTCACCTGGGTGAGATTCAAAAGGATTTCATTCCCTGACTTTGATGAGCAGGTTTATACCTCCACTGGCTAAGGCAGGACAGGCAGGAAACAGAAATATGTGCACATACAAGTGTGGCAACTGATAAGAGAAAAGAAAAGAAAAAAAGAGGATTAATATTTTGGGAAGAGATGGAAGAAGAAAAACCTAGAAAATAACAGGAAGTAGGAGAAAGACACTACAGCTCACGTATGCAAGTATGTGCCATCATCTGCTAGAGAAAAGAAGGAAGCAGACTCTGGAAAGAAAGAGACTAAGAGAACAAAAGCAAGGAATGCAGTAAGTCAGGACTTCTGAGATGAGTAAATAGTTAGCTGTTCTCTTATACCTGCTGCTGTAGTGTCCACACACCTGAGAGGTAGATGCCTAGTTGGCACCTACTGCTATATGGATAACTTTCAGGCTGGAGAGTAATCTACTGATGGTCAGGTCTAAGCAGAACCACATCAGTTTAAGTAGATCAGTTCTAGGTAGCCCAGTTAATCTAGAGAAAAACCCCAACAGAGGTTTTCAAATGTTAAATCTCAGGTTTCTACACCTAACGTTTTTCCTTATTTCATGTCCTTTACCTTAAGAGACTGGCCCTGATGAATGTAAATCAGTTTCAAACAGATTCCATTAAAACAACATAGCTTTCTCCCTGATACAGAGTTTTACAGGCTAAGAGATGCAGGGTATACATCTCAAGACCCATTTCTTTCCCCCTTTTCATGTACTGCTTTCTAGACACTTTGTAGAAGTGATGGCAAGTTCAACAACAATGCCAAGAGGCATGCACGTTAAGCCTTTGCTAAATTTGAAGTGATAATCCAGGCATCATGTCTTCCATTTTACCTACAGGTCTTTTTCCCCAACACCAAAAACAATTAGCCTTGATCAAGAGCATCATTAAAACCTTTGATCAATAATCCATTCAATTCTGTAGAAGTAGCCAGCTGCTAGTTAAAGCACAGAGAATAAAACTCTTAAGATTTTATAGGTATATTTAGTTAACAAAACATTTTTGAAGACTCAGTAATAGAAAGAGGGTAGGTATTCCAGCACACTGTGGAGCGGATTTATTTATGATTCATTCCCTCTAATAGGATATGCTTGTTTACAGAGCTTGAACTAGATCTGGTAAAGGTTAAAGATTCAATAAAAGCTCCTGTGACTCCTGTGACATAATGCCAACCCTTGCACAACATTTGAAAACAAAGCCAGTTTTCCAAGACGACACTGCAGTGAATCCAACAACAATATTTTCAGTAACTGGATGCAAGTGGTTTGGGTTTTTTTTGCTTGTTTTTCATTTAAAGGTCTAATAAAAAAAAATATTAAAGCTAGGCTTAAAAAAAACCACAAGACAACATACCTTTAGAACTGTTAATACAAAAATCATCTTCTCCTCAAAGCTACAACACTGCACAACGGATTTCTCACTAAATGGCTTTTTGAGGAAACACAAACTCCTAGACTTCACCACCCCAGATCTCCTCAGCACAGGTACATCCCTGACATTTATGAGCACAGTCCAATGCTAGCAGATCCCCTGTTGCATGAGGCGCTGTACCAAAGTGAAATCATTTAATACATGCCAACCCATCACCTTGTGCAGCTAGCACTGGTAGTGTTTTAGAGAGGGCAGGGGGATCCCCAAGGGCTGGCATTCTTTTGCTGGTTCAGATGCCAGGGAATTAAAAATCTCAGCAGTGACACTGCAAATTGGTTTATTTAGTACCTTCAGTAAAATGGTACGCTAAGTTCTCCACACACCAACTATGCAAACCACAGTATTGCAACATACGCACACAGGAGTAGTAAAATTATTCCGTAAGAGCTCAGTCAGCCAAGGTGTGCTACCCTTCCGTGCATTTTGGTCCTATTACTTGAAATGAAACCAGTGAGAATAAATACTACACGTGCATCGTTCCTTTTAAAAAGTCTGCTGTGAATGCAAACGCAATGTACCCATCAAGATTTGAACGCAGACTGTGTTTGACTAAATGAACTAAGCAGCTGTCACCACGCAAAGTGCACTGACAGAAGAGTTCCAGAGTAACCTGTTGCAGCTATTCAAGTATCTCCACTGCACACCCTTCTATACTGCCAAGAATAAAAAGTATACCGGGACTCTGGCAGCAACGCAATCAAACCTCGATTCAGAAACAGCAAGGGCAAGAAGTGAAGAAAAAATTACTTCAGATAACCAAGAGGCGTCTCTGTTTATATTACATCTTCCCTTTTGCCCTCTAAACAGCCAGGAGCCCCGAAGGGATGTATAGATGTCTCCACCGCGGGGTCTCCCCCCCCCCCCCTCCCCAACTCAACTTACTGTGGCATTAAGGGCAGAGGAAAGGTACAGATCTCCACGGACGCAAAAGAAGAGAACGGGAAAGTAACACCACTCCCATCCCTGCTGACTTTACAAACGAGCATTCCCAAACGCTGACAAACCCCGTGTTTCGACAGATCACGCTCTTCCACTGACTTGTCCATCTCTTCTCATCAATGGCTTCTGTTTCTTCAGCTTGGGCGAATCTGTGAGAGCGACTGACAGTTTTCATTCTGCTCTTGCTGAAACTTTAGGGAACTGAGCTTTCCTGCAGCACAACAAGCACTGACTTTTGTGGGCAGATAAGCAAGGGAAGGTGAGAGACAGAAAGTCATGCACTTCTGTACCACCAAGGAGTAAAGCACTGCACCTTCACTGACCTGCTCCCTGCATCTGTTCTGATCCCCCAAATACAGAGGAATTTCAGCAGTGACTGAAAACCCACAATCTTCATTGCTTTGCCGTTCCTCCACAAAAGCGTGCAGCGTGAAGAGATTTTCCCCTCTCTTTCACAACTAGCAAAAGTATCAACTACTTAGAAAAATAAGGAACAGTAGCCCAGGAATCGCATGCATGGTTCAGGATTACAATTCTGAAAGTCCTTTTCTAAAGCCCTGGCACGTATTATTTATGGAAGCATACCTCTGCGCATAAACACAGAAGCGGTATTCCTCTTTGCTGCATAAAGCTGAAACCCAGCAAAACCACTGATATTTTTAGAGTGCAAGTTTGAAGCACGGGGGCCTTGAAGAGATTTAGGAGTGTCTGAAAGATGAGTTGGGTTAGAAAAGTCCAAGCTAACAGGGACCTAGGAGGAATCTAGACCACGTTCCTGTTAAAAAGTTTTAGCACAGTACTGGTTCAACTAAAGGTACACAAAGACCGCATTTCAAAAAAAAAAAAAAAAAAAAGAAGAATTCCCCCTCACTTCTCTTTATCACGGGAGTTCCCCGTGCCCCAAACAAATCCAAGGCTGGTTTTTTTGCCTTACAGTTTCTCCCCTCCTCCCTCCCGCAGCTTCCTACCAGCTGAGATTCTGCAGCTGCAGCAACAACAGTCTGTCTGTGACAGTGCAACCACCGCGGCGGGATGGTGCCTACCAATTCACTAGCTTCCTTATGTTTTAATAGAGGTAGCACATTGTGAAGGGGCTTCCCCCCCCTCTTTTTTTTTTTTACTGAAAAGATACTGATGAATATTCATTACTAGTCCTTTATCAAGGGCGTGAATTTTATTTAAAGGACTGGAAGGGAATTGCAAATTAGGCTAATACAATGGGAGATTTTGACTCGGTTCTCTGGTCTCGAAATACAGCTAAAGAGTAAGGATTTGCAGAAAAGAGACTTGATGAGAGTAAAAAAAAAACAAAAAAAAAACAAACCCCCCCCCCTAAACCCCAACCTCTTCCCAAAGCCACCCTGCTCCTCACAGCTGTGAGTCTGCTGCCCGGGGTCTCCTCTCTGCATTTTTAAGTCTAACACTTGGCAGGCCGCATTCTGAGACAGGACTTACCAAAACCCGACCTATTCATGCGAGCCTGCAAAAAAGTTACGCACAGAATTCTTCATACTCTTCGGGAAGCCCCGTTCCGGGTAAGGTGCGCGCAGCCGTGGCTGCCGAGAAGGCATTACAGCCGGCGCCTAGCACACGCTACCCCCCCGCCTTCAGAAGCCAATGAGTATATTGCTTTCAGTTTTTTCGGGAGACCTCGGCAAAACTTGCATTTTAATAATTCATCGCCTAGCGGGTAAGCTTCCAAGTCAAGTTTTTAAGAAAACGCAGGGATATAAACGAGATAGGGGGAAAAAAAAACCAAAAGCTTTTTTTTTTTTCCCCTCCTCCCCCCTGCTCTGGAAAAGCAGAGGGACAAACCAACCCTTTCACACCTTCTGGGTCCAAAGCGACCCCCCCCCGGGGGCGCTGACCGCGGACAACACCCGCCCCCGAGGCTGCGGCCGACCCGGCCCCGGGGACGGGGCTGCGGGGAGGGAGCGGGGAGCGTGTGTGCGTGTGACAGACAGACCGACCGACCCAGACGGACGGACGGACGTGCGCACACGCACGCACACCCGCAGACAGGCGCACACGTGCGCGCACACACGCCCCTGCCCGGGCAAGCGCCGGCTCCGCCGCCCCCCCCGGCTGCAGGAGGAAGGGAAGGGGGGGAAGGGGAAAGGGGGGGGGGGGGTGTCAGCGGTCCCCGCACTCACTTTCGTCCTGCCGTTGATTTTGTAGTTGCCCAGCTTGCCGTTGCAGTGTCGGATGAGATCGTCCATGCTGTTCATGAGGAGCCGGATGGTCTGGCAGCCCGGCTCCTTGCCCTCCACCCAGGTGATCTTGTCGCCGCGGATGTCCTTGGAGGAGTCGCTCTTCTGGCTGACGAGCTGCCCGTCGGTGAAGCGGCCGGTGTGGTGGAGGGCCCGCACCTCCTGGGCCACCAGCCCGCCCAGCTCCTTGCCGAGGAAGTCGTCCACCACGCAGATGCCGTGCTTGTTCATGCAGGGCACGATGTACTCCAGCGCCAGCCGCTGCGGCACCAGCGACTTCGTCTGCCCGTTGGGGCGCAGCGCGGCCCCGCCGGGCCCCGCCTGCACGCCGCCCGGGTACAGGTTCGACTTGTCCCGGTACAGCAGCACCGCCTCCCCGGAGGGCGACGGGGACTGGGCCGGGGCCGGGGCCGCGGCCGCGGCC